GCAACTAAAGAATGTGAGTATGTCTATCATGTCATGATCCAGATTACGTATCGGCTAAGTCATTCATCAGATGATAGTTTTCAATTGAGTCGTAGCTGAAAAAATCTTCTATGAAGCAAATAAAGTTGATGGAATACTATGGATAAATGTTTGCCGAACTTCTCTTTGTGCATCATGCTTTGATTCTATTTTCCTGTTGTTGAGTAATAAGTTGGATAGAATGGTAAGATTTCGAATATGAATGTGGATTAGAAGAAGAGCACATATGTTCAATTCCACATTAACATTCACGAGCACAGCTACGCGCACACTCGAGAAAAAAAACTTCTGCTATTATCTGTCATTTATGTCGGATATTTCACAGAGCGAGAGATAAGCAAACCCACCTTCTCATGGTGTCTCCTATGAAACTCTAACGGAGCTTTTCCAACCTTTCGTTAATAGGCATAGTTATCAATTGTTGCCATTTTTCCAGAAGTTGGATGCTGGATTACACCTCCGTAGTAAAGTTGTCGATGTCTTTTATGGATGGAAACAGCTAAAAGTTCGGCAGAAAGTATTTTTATTCTCGGATCGCTAGAAGTCATGACCAGCAGGTGACGAAAGAACGAAATTCACATGACCTAGCCTATCTCACAACCGACGATCTGTCCGAATCTTATTCATCTCGAAACGACAGCATCCAATTATTTTTATTCCATTTTTCTGTCAGAAAAAGAAAATGCTGTTTCAAAATCCGCTTTTCATCCAAAGTTACCATGATGCTATATAAAAAACTTGGCACCGAGTATTGAGAATTTTCGTAGAAAGTTGCATATTTTGGAAGGTGAAGTATTGGTAGTTCACAAAGCCAACTCTTAAAAAACGAAATTTCTTCGTAACAAAAAAGACTAGCCAACATGACGCTCATACAGAACGTAATATTTTTTCTAATATGCAAAAAATAGGACACAAGGGTACATGATTTGTGAAAATTAGCGAAATATTGGCTCAACTAATATAGAAGCAATAGGATAAACTGCAATCATATAGAGCCAATGGAATTCACTTGAAATCATTTAGAGAATGCACGCAATAAGTAAGAGTCATTTTTAGTTGTTTGAGGTAGTTTGTCGTCTATCATCTTATCTGTGAAACAGTGAATCATTGCTCTATTGTATTAATATGTAAAAGATGCACGTTTCTTCATTGTTTCGTTGATTTCTTTGTTAAAAAAAACTGCCTCCTTTGGACTTATCAGTTATTGCCATTTGTTCTTTTTTTCTCGTAAAAAACCGAGGTTAAAGTTTTAATGATATCGAGATAACATAGACGCTTCATGTAGTTGTTATTTTATTCGTTTTACATACAGGTAAGTGTGCTTTGCTTTTGCTGATCAAACAATTCTTTCTCATAGTAGTAATATTATGGAGAATATTTTGAATTAGGAAAGTTACCACAAAATTTAATTAAGGATGAAGCAATTTTTGTGAAGCACCTTATTGAAAATAACACAGTCTTACAAAACTTCCATTAATTTATTCTTTTATAAGATATTTTCGCAGAGTTTCACATGCTCGTCGTTATATCAAATTCTTATTTTCCTTATCTATCTAAGATCCTTTGATATATTAGCTCTGCTAAACTTTAGCTGTCATTGATATTTACATCCAGATATGGACGCTTTTTAGTTCACTTGAATTGAACACGTTTCTTATAAGCATCGATGTTGTGCAAAACAACAAGGTGAGTAGTTGATGAGATAAACAACAAACATTGAAGATCATTTAAACGACAGAAACTTTTCGACAATGTAGCTCTACCTTGCACACATTTTTATTTCATGTTCGATGTAATTTTCTGTTTTAAACACAAATCTGGTAGAAGTTTTTTTAAATTGGCTCATATATTATGACTACAAACTTAAAAATTATGTGTAAATTGAAAAATCAGCTTAGATTAATGTCTCATCTAATACAATCTCGTAATGGTTCATCTTGAACATTCATATATCGTAAGATGTCTTTTAAGAAGACCTATGTTTGATAAAAGGGTATATGGATGTATAAATAAAACAGATTTCGAAGAACTAACTCTTTCCTGAAACAATCATGTGTTTGGGTAATACGAGCTGCGACTTCTAAAATTAATTGGTAGGTATCATCATATATTTATCTTTATTGTTTCATTAAATCGACTGACACACATGAATTTATCTCGTGTATTGAGCCATGCTCCATGAAGACAGATTCAATTCTCGCAGGTTCTTTCATGTGACTCAACTGTTAGAAGCTCAATGGTTGCGGTACCATATCTCCAGGGTGGTAAGCGCACATTCTGTGACAAAACTCATGAATATCAGACAGAGCGAAAGAGAACTCCTAGGATATTCTATAGTTTGATAATAGCTAGTTTCTACCTTAAAAACCAGTCTACAAATTTTTTAAGTCGTAGTATTCTGCATAAGGCGAAAACGACCTCAATAAGATGAATATTTTGATACTGTTGTGATGAACTTTGAAATTAAATCGTCAAACATGCCATTTCAGATCTGTTGAGTATTTTCATCCAGTCTGATGGCTAATAGTCTCTGGACAAGTGACTTGTGCACGTGTCCTATCTCAATTTCCAACTTCTTAGATTCTTATCAATTCCTATCGGAATCAATACACCGCAATTTGGTCAAGCGTCTGCTATAGTTTCACATTGAAATGTCGATGTGCATTCAAGTTATAGATGATCAATGAGCAATATACGTGAGAATAGGACACGTTTTCGATAAGTATTTAGAGTGCATCTTGAGGACAGAAAAATGAATGTTCGCAAGTCTCTTAACAAAGGTAACTCAAAATTAGATCTTCAAAATTACATAATACAAATACTGGTTGCAGAACTGACTAATCTGGTAATACTTGATACAGTCGCAAGGAATAGTGATTTTATTATAAGATCTTCCCTATGTTGGATATTGCATCCCAAACTTAACTATTACCTATCTATTTAAAAACAATACGGATAGAAAGTTTTTTAATAAGCTTTGGCAGAAATATGATAGAGAATTACAGTTGCCACTCTTCGAAAGAGAAGACGAAGACACATCGAATTATATATTCGTTTTTTTTACCCACTCTTTCTAAAAGTTTTCAATTGTCCTCTTTGAAAACCAACACATCCTGTGAGATGACTACAATGAATTTTCAGTTATTAAGTATGTATCCGAACCGCCGATGGAAGATCTACAAAACTACGCAAGGTTCAGATTTTTGAACTTAATAGTGCAGGAGTTATAAGTATTTTGGGCAAGCCTATCGATCGATTTTTCAAATAATTGTTGTGAAAAAAAAACTTTTTGCTTTTTTCTTACTGTATGAGAAATCATTTTTCTAACACTTTAAAAAAAACTTCATAAAACATTTTAGGAGACCCTATAATATATTATTCGATGCGAGTTCATCTGCTCTTTTCGACGGTGAAAATCGCAACACTATCTTCTTTCTATCACAAGTTATTCGAAAAATATCCATCGATCTTTTTTTAAATGGATCTTAGATCTTAAAGTCATCTGTCACACATATATCGGCATATACTCTTTTTCAAGAACAGAGATCAACCTGAAGTCAAGGAATAGATGGTTGCATTCGCATCAGTAGTGGGTGTCAATCTGTATTTTCTCAATCCAGCGTAGCATCGGAATTCTATTGAGCGTATTGAAGTGACGATATGAAAAAAGTCACTGAAATATTATCTTCAATGACTTATGAAAAAATCAGTGCTTTGCAATCTAATGGCAATACAGCTTCGCATGCTGCTTGTTTTCATGGCCACAAGAAAATTGCTAAAATGCTCATTGATCGTGGCTGTGATCGTTCTACCTTAAATCGGCATAAGATGACTGCCTATCGAGAAGCTAAGAATGATCAAATTCGAAATCTATTCAAGCACCCTGATTCTGATCAATTTCACTATGCTTCTTTCGTGTTAATGATGAATTTCGACTTGTACCAACGGTAAATACTAAACATATTCTCGATAATTGGGTTTAAGGACATGCATCGACTAAGAAAGCAACAGATGCGCAAATCGTAGCTTTTATTTCTCATCCATTCATCCTCCAAAAATTGGTTCAGAATAAAATCGAAGGCAAAAGCTATAAAATTTTGCAGGAATTTGTTCAACAGAAAATTGTTGCTCTACACCATAAAGGATCAGATACAGTCACCACACTTTTCAAAAATTTCTCACTTAGTCACAAACGTAGTGTTGATCATTTGATTAAATTGTATACATTGGAAACCCAGTTCTACACTGCGTGTTACATAATGATAATGCAGTATTTACGATGGTGTTATATATGCATTTGCATGAATATCTGAATCATGCGTTTCGAGGAAATAACTATCGTAGCACTATGATGACATCAAAGCACATAAATGGGTAAAAAAAAGACAAGTCGAGAATATTGAAAATGTGCACCGTGCAATCGACTTCTTTCCATTAACATGTAACGCAAGACTTTGCTGAAAAACATTCGACAGCTAATAAACATACAGTGCTGTTCAAGTTTAATTTTCCGGAAGCATGCAAAACAGCATTAGTGCTATTGAACCCTTTGAAGAAAATATTTATCTTATCAGAGCTTGCATATGAAGCTGAACTTCTGATTTTACCATATACCTTATTTGAAGTCAATCATATTAGATTGTGCCAACGAATGGGATGGTATCACATATTTATCATAAATGTACCAGTACCTCATAAATCAGTGTTCAAAGCTTGGATGAATACTGTTGTGAATAGTTAGATTGCTACGCATAATATATTTTCAAAATAAAATGAATGAATATTTTGCAAAACTGAATGAGCTGCAAATATTGCTTTTTTGGCTAAATCATAATTTCTGAATTGTTTAGCGCTAGAATTGATCAAAAATTGTTTTTTTTTGATTCCGTTTTCTCTTTCTAAAATCTACTGCTTGTGGATCATTCATTTTATGTCAAATTTTAGATTTCTATATTACCGAGATGGTTTTGATCGAGGAAGTGGTAATATAATGAACTTCATCTTGTTCACTGACGATGTGTATCCCTATCTAGAATACCATATCATCAAAGTTAAAACAACAGTCAAGATATCATGGTAGTAAAGAATCTTTACTATCTAAAGTTGATTCGATTGTATGCTTATCTTTCCTCAATGTAATGAATATTATCTCCTTGGCTGTGCCAATTACTATGTTAACTATCGGCATTGTAAAGCGTGATAAATGTCCCATGGAACCAAGAATTCCACTTTTCTTGATCGTGACAAGTGCTGCAAGCATAGTTTGGATGACTGCTACTCTGGTTTTGGTAAGAGTACATCTGCTATTCAAATATTAAGATATATTAACGCTTTGTTATGATTTTCTTGTAGAATTTCATTAAATTATGTTGTGTAGCACTTTTGTCAAATTCAATTAAAACAAAAGTATATATTATACTGGGAATTATAATATTCTTGTTCTGTTCACTCACTATGTGTTGGATGATCGTGGTACGTAATTGAATCTTACGAATGACTGTGAGTGACTGACTATGATTGAAGAGATATGAATCTTCTCTTCACCCATAGCCAAACCCAAACCTGTCTAAGACGTCAGTGATGTAGAGCTAGGAAGACTGACAATAAATAATCTTAGCAGATAGATTATAAATTATTATAGTGTTAGTATTTTTAACTTTTATCTGTGATAATTAACTATCTCATAGGCTAGATTATATGAGATTTCTTGAAATTTGACTTCTTGATTCGAATTTGAGAATAAAATAAGTCGATAATATAAAAACACATTTTTTTCATTATCGTATATTAAATCTTCAAAGTTTCTTCTTTGAAAAACGCTACTTTTCACTCCTACACTATCTCAGTATGTTGTATATTAATTGATTACGTATGAAATCTTTAGGGTTGTGTATGGGTATTTCCAAAAAAGTCTTCTGTTCAATTTACTGATTCAACAGCGTTGTCAACCTATTGTGATCCATTACTCTATAATTTTTCATTTATTATATTAATCCTTCAATTGGTGGGCTTTTTGTTGGTCTGTTGCTGCACATGTTGCATCGCTTGTTGCGCTACTTTTACTGCCGCGATTGTAAAAGTGGACGATGCTTGAATCTTTACCACTTTCTTCTTACCATGGTTTAACACAAAGAAAGATAATCATATGACTAAACGAGAATTATAATTTTATATAAAACGTCGAAAGAAATATTTTATTGTCAGAAGCGCAAGGCCTAGAACTGCTAATTTATTTCAGATGCAGTTGTTCTGAAATACAATGATCGTTTATCGGATGAAGGTGAGATCGTCGAAGATGAGTCATGAATTTCGTATAGGTCGTTAGTATAATCTATTACCTATCCCAATACGATCTCTAGATATATGTTTGAAATGGTTTCATTATTACTAATGTGTTGTCTTCTCTAGTATAGTTGCCGAATGTGATTACAGATGTGAATGTAGGTAGGTGTGTTGGTGGGTATGGGTATAAGTGTGACTGTAACTGTGTGTGAGGGTGAGTGTCTGCTTGTTGGTGTCAGTGTCAATGCCAGTGCCACTGTGAGGGTGGCAGTAGGTATAGGTATTGAGAAGGCTAACATCTCACAACTACCCATCACCTAGTTATAATATGGGTATGGCTGTGTGTATTGATTATGGGATGATCTACAGTCATATCCGTATCCTAAAATCCGCTGACACAAACTAGAACTATCAAAATAGATGAGGTTCTTTGATTATATGTAGAAGATTTTTAGTTAATAACGAAAGCTGTAGATTGAGTCTCGACATAAAATAAAAAGAATAATACTGCGAAAAAATTATAGACTTTCTGCCAATTTTTTAGCCCTATCCACCAACCCAAAAACAATCGGAAACCCTGGACAGAATATCACCAAAAGACTTTGAATATTGATTTGAAATCTGGTTAAAAAAATTATCTCAATTCAGTAACCAAATACGATGGCATGGTTGAGTGTGATAATAGATTCAACAATTCTAAATCGACATTGTTTTATTTTAAAAAGCATTGAATATTTATCTAAGATTGCTTGATCATCAAATATATCTTTAGATCGTCTAATAAACTTGGTTCATTGTATATTATGAGGAAACGTATAAATTAACGTTGCTGTGGCGATTAACAAATTGTCTTTTTTTTATGTAATTATTTTGCACAAATCTAAGAGTAGAAAAGTTTTACTCGTTGATATTTGTCGATCAATCATTTCTGATCAATCACAAAAATTTTCAGTCAGACAATTATTTTATTTCTTCCTCATTCAAGTAGAAATGATTGTTTTCAAAAAGGAAATTTAACAAGCATTGCTATCATACTTTTAATCTTTCGTAATTTATGATATGCATCAGGTTACCCATAAAGATTTATTCTCAGTAAACGAATATTGATGAAAACGTTAACAGCTCTGATCATTATACAATGATAATCGATAGTATCAACATTAATGTGACTCCACGCGAAATGATCACGCATAGGAAGGTGGAATGTAAACAAAAGAAAGAGAATCGATTTTGCACAAGCACAAAATAGAATCAATAGGTGACGCCTTCATATTGCGCATTCTTATCTACGTCATGCGAAAGTATAAATGACTCTTTTTTTTTCGCATCAATAAATTGCAGTTGAAAATAAATCATGCATATACTGTCAATGATATATACGTCTCATACAAGATCACTGAGTATATAACATTATCATTTGTTCTGCTCGTTGTATTGAAATTGTAAGTAGAGTTACCTGATGTAATGATAGTAATAGCTTCTTTCTACTTAGCTTACTCATTCTCGCATGAGTAAGATTTGATGGTTTTATATGAACCAATTCCTGCTTATTCTCGCTGCATAAGAAAGCTTTATCCAGCATTATTTTATAATGAGATTGATTAAAAAAAAACTTATTTGTACTGGAAAGCTTAGCTTCACAGGAATTGTAGAAATGCTTAGGTGAAAATGGATGAGTCTCTGACAACCAGTATTGGCTGAGTCTGATTTCCGGTAGAGTACCAGAAGAACGTAAGAATCCATGTCTCAAAGCTATCATCAATATGGTCACTAGCATCTTGTCCAAGTTTGATACTGTAGCTGAGAATTTGACCGAACCTCTAGGTTCTCTCTGAAGTACAGATCGAAGCTGAGACCAATAATTCAATCACCACTGAAACTGGGAGTGAACTGTCGATTTAAATCAACTGTCCATCTGGGGCACAAGCTAAGACCAGTAAATCGACTAGAACTGAAATCTGCGTAGCTTCCGCAACTTTTAATCAAAACCTGAACAGTACGTAGACGTAGCCAGGACAGTCGTCTCGAAATACGTTCGAGATGAGCACTCTAGTCAGGTCCGAAGCTGTCACTGTAATTGAGAAGGTGGTCAAACCTCGAATGTAGTTGGAAGCTAAGACCAGTAATTCAATCGCAGCTGAAACGACGATGAGTACCGGTTCATGAAAAGCTTCGTAATGGATGCAGAACCAGGAGTGAAATCTGAGTGGGTCACGAAATCGACTCTGAAAGCTGGACAAGAAGTAAGATCTGACAGAGTTCGCATTACACACAGCCAGCGCGATAGGCCTTGGAATCAGGTCTGAAGTCGAATGCTCAATGAGATTGGTAGCAGAATGACGGCTTGAAGTGCAATATAAATGAGAATCATGACCGGAATGGCAATCGTAATCGAAACAAAGATATACACGGCGACTAGGATGGAAATGTGAATAAAGATGATGATCGATACATATATTAAAATTGAGATCTGGGTCGATGCTACGACTGAGAACGATTCCACAAGAGAACTAATATTGGTACCGAGGCCAAAAATGCATCTGGATCTCGATCTTTGACGACATACATGGTCACGAACACGAAAAGCTCCTAGAAGTAATGTCAAAAACCAATATATTCTCGCATATATGGAAAGGACATCTGAGACTTGGTTCAGCCAGGCTCATGGTATTGAGTGGTATAGTATTGCTTGTGAAATACTAATATTTTATTGATACACTGCAATGATGGTAAGAAACCAAGTAAAGTAGTGTTATGGTGCATCATTTTTCTGCCTTTGGTTCACACTATTTTGCATCCTTTAAGCTGTTCGCATGATGAGTAATAGAACAAGCAAAACGACGATAATATTTTTATGGGGAAAAAACCATGTATCTCATTAAAATATCTTAATTAATGATAGAACAAGCAAAACGAGAATAATATTTTCATAAGATAAAAATCAGATATCTCATTAATATACTTTAATGAATGATCAAACAAGCAAAAAGACGATAGTACTTGTATGAAATAAACAACGTATTTCAAACATATTTGATAAATAGTTATTTCAAGGACACGAGTGAAGACAAATAAGCCAAACTTATATTAGTGATATACATATAAGCAACGTCTTGTTTTTATCTCTAATATAGAACACCGTCGATATATTAGTGTTATTCTGGTCGTAAGCACACAAGACTTCGTATAATACAGAGAGCAAACGTATGCATTTTGAAATTGCATTTTATTCAGAGAGCGTTGTTTCTCATCAGTATACAATAAATTTTTCTATTCTTAAATAGTACCACTAAGCTTATATTATTTTTTCTTTCGTATCATAGTAATTATTTTTCTGCCGGTAAAAATGTTCCGAAATTCTGTATGAAATAGATAGTAAATATTAACTACTGTAAAGACACGCTTGTCATAAAACGTCTGTAGCAGGAGGTGTTAATCAACTTTGTGAGGTCCCATGTAGAAAAAAGACCGTTCAACATTATGTTCTTTTATCATTCGAAGAGGTTTGACCTCGCTCAAAATTAGATATGATACTGTACACATAAAAAGTGTTTCAGGAAATTTTCGTTGAGGGATTTCTCTTCATTTGAGTTTTGCCGAAGAACTTGCTTAGAATATTGTTGTCGGAGCGAATAGTTCTAATTAGATAACAGCTGTTGTTAGGATATCAACAAAATTCGCGTCGGTAGGTTTTAGAAAAATCGTATTTCTCCTAAAATGACTCTGTGATTAAGATTATCCAGAAAATTCTCAAGTCATAATAACGAAGTAGGATAATGGAATCATTTGGTGTTTGTGTTATCCAATACCCCTATGATGAAGATAAAAATTATAAAAGATTCTTCAGGAAAAGATAATGAGCGCATAGCTCTGGAAAAAGGGTGATTTCATTGAAATAACTCTAGCTCTAAAACTTTGCTGTATATTTTTCGATCACAGCGAACAATCATAAGTGTAAAACGGTTCAATTTTCCTATAGTTCCATAGCACAATCATAGAACTAAAAAATAATGGTGTCTTACCGTAAATGACTCCCTAGCCTTTTGCTTGATATCTCTCTGGATTTTTATAGTGTCAAACCATAGGAACCAATTAAATAAATGCTTTCGCAGAGCTTTGAAAGCTGTACTCTGTGAGTTTACATCAGAACTCTTCCATTAAAAGCCTATAGAGTTAAATAAATGTTATCTTTCACGAGTTTTCGAAAATATTCCTGTTTTTCCACCGTATTTTTCCAGGTTTTGGAAAAAGACGGCAACTTCTCGTAGAATTTTTACTTGGAGCAAATTTTTGGTTTGTACTTATGTCACTAAACGATACTATGCAAGGCTGGACGCATTCTGAAACGGTGCTACTTCGAATAGTTTAAGTGTTAATAGTAAGAGAAAGCATGCAAGATAATGACTAGTTTTCCTGAAAAATAAATTTTCTACGTCGAACTTTTTACATGTTGCTTCAGTATCAGCCCAAAATACAAGTTAGTATCAATGAAAACAGCTCGAAAGTGATTGCTGATAGAGTTTTGTAGTAATACTATGGTGACTTTTTTCTTTTATATCTGCGTTGACCATTTCTGTAGGACTTAGTAGAGAATGCAATGCTGAAAGTTTTTGAAGAAAATTCGGTTCGACTCAATAAAAATTGACAGAAATATGTGTAGGGACCTTATGTGAGTTATAACGGATTCCATTGTAAGGAAATATATAAATAGACAGAATGAAGAACAAGAGGTTCTGCTTGAAACTCGAATCCCACATGTTTTGTGATCTGAGAAGATGTCCTAAGCTAATTAGACTAGAAGGAGCATTTTAGTCTACGTTTAGCGTCGGAGTGTACCATCTTTGACGTCAACAATATGGAGGAAGTAACGATGGCTGATTTATCCTGGTTCACCTGTTAATTTAAGAATATATGTAGAAAGACAAACAGGCCAAGGAATCTTCAGAGCGAGTATTATCATTAAACTGGTTTAACTTCTAGGATTGTTCTAGGTATTGTTCGGCCATAAAGAGGAGTTACAAGCGCTTAGTAATTTTATTATTGCATCACTTGAAAGCAGTCTACTCACTCTAGGAAACAATATGAGAACGTGATGAAAAGAGTATGAACCGGTAGATCATCACACGGGACACTCATTCAATAGTTCTTAAGTTCGTATTGTTCACAAAGTTTGTCTGCTATTTGCAATCACTTTTATACTCGCCAAGTTAGTTTCTACGTTAATCGAAAGTTTTCTGCCAATGGTAGAAGAAAACTTGAATATGTGTATGTGAAAGCCGAATTGGATGGTAGAGACGGTCAAGTTCTCCGTTCCCTAGGGTTTTATTCCTTGGAAATGGAACCCACTCGAAGGTTCGTTTCTGAACATTTCTAATTATATTGAGATATATGGACGTACTTATTCTTTCAATCGGTATCAAGTCAATATGGGTTTCCGGATCCTTGGGAACGGAACCAGAAACTGACACCCCTATACGATGGTCAATTTCAGTAAGAAAAATAGTCTATTTTCCGTTATTTAATGTTGCTGTTAACAACCTCAGGAAAAGAATCCTTGAAATCAAAAAGTCGGTTCCATCTATTGCTATACCCATCAGAGAGGAGTACGGCAGTGTTGACTTTTGCCTGTACCATGCTTCGTGTGATAGAACCAAAATGGTGACCTAATACAACGCTATGATCTCAAAATCCCTTTTGAAGGGTGTGGGCGTGGCTGTGGCTGTGAGTATGGGTGATGTCTCTCCATCTACATTCACACCCACACCCACGCTCCATCCACACCCTTTATATGTTGAAACTCTACGACATTTTTACTTGTCCAAGTTGCAATCCTAAAAATGGTGATTGTGGTGTCTTGATCAAGGTTCGACGGATCTGAAGTTATGCTACCTACTGTTTTAAAAAACATAGCTAGAAAACATGCTGAAGATCTTACATCTGAAAGTATCCATGGAAGAGAATTGAAAACAGAAAAAAATAATGTGCACTAGTTGTGACAGAAATCAACAAACTAAATAAGCGTTAGCTGGTTAAATAAATATTGGAAGCAAGAGCTTTGATAATTGTTTTAATATGTTGCAGTATTCATGCAAGTGTTTTGATCGGCTATAAGTGTATCGCCAAAGATCTTGTGCAGTCTCCTCAACGTATTAAACACATCTATTTAACCGTTGAAAAATCGTTAAGATTGCACAGAAAAGTTGTCTGCTTATACATAAATCGACTGAACGGATTAGGCAAAATTATTGCAATGACAGTTTTCTGTGGAAACTCCACATGATTAGAGATATGTTTATATTCTGATATCATGTATGTGTTCTTCCTTAACTATTGTCTCATCGTAGATTGAAATGGTTCCTATGGATAATAATATCAAATTGGTCAGCTACTCGCTTCGTAAGAACAGTGTTGTCGTCGATGCAAACGAGAAGCCGAAATCAATTTCAAATGGGCAAAATGCAAGAAATATCCAGAACAATACTATCGCTCGAATAAAAAGTTACACGATGCGACAGAATATGTATAACTTTTTCTTCTCATGTCAAATATCATCGTTGTTGCTCTTTCTTAGGAAATATTGTTACTGGTCAATATTGGGTTTCATAACGAAACCTGTCTTTGTACTGCCTACGATTACAAGTATAGTTACTATCATCGGCATAGTGGTAGTTTGTTTAACTGCACCAAAACCACTAGGTAAGTCCTTGTTGTTTTACATTCTGCGTATTCAATACGATAAAAATCCATAGTTAATTCAGTTCTGTTTTATCAGTATTGTGAGTTTTGATTAAAAAACCACTAATTGTGATAATATTTGATATCGACATGTTCGAGACAAATCATCAAATGGGTACGAAATTATAGGCATTGCAACTTCTTTACTTTCCCATTTCAAATTAGCACTAGCAAATGCAAATCAACCAAGATAATCATCACTAGTAGATCTGATACTTTGTCCATAAGTCGGATCCTTCTATTTTATTTATTGGTAGAGATTATAGATTTTAAGAGAACTCCAGAAAGAATTATCCCATTGACGCTTTATTTTAGAGAAACAAGTATAATAGGTTTCTCTAGGACGGAGATTATTGCATTTTCTATAAATTTTTCTTATGTCTCAGTAAAACAACAATTTTACGACCTGATTTTTGCAAACTGATATTATAGTTTGTTACTTGTTGTAGAAAGATCAACTTTATTGTATTTGATGTTCTTGAATCGCTTCTTCTATTATTTTTGATGATACTCTTTCACATCTCTAAATGAAAACAGCAGTTTATCTTGGATTGCTTTTTCTGGATCTCATCAATATGTTCTTGGGTCTAATAGAAATATGAAAGAATAAGAGAAAATACAACTGATTTTCTCACAGAGCGTGACAAAAGTAAATATTTCTTCTCTACGGAACACATCTTCTTTACATTTTCTTACTTTATGTTACCTGTAGAGGAGAGTAAGCAGTATATGTATTCCATCTAGATCGTCCGTCATTCTGCTAGTATGTTTCTATACAGTCGTTTTCTTTTTGTCTTTCTGTATGACTCATGTGTGTTCTATGTTGTATTCACGTGTAAGTTCTCATTTCTGTATTACATTCTAGTGAATTCTTTTCGTTACCACTCTTTGAAACAATAAAACTTTCTATATACGCCATAAAATAATAATTCTATCTGACTCATAGATGGTTAGAAGTCGACTATCTTCACAAAGTAAACAGATAGTAAGTACATTTCTATTTTATCATCATCTGCATGTCTCGATAATAAAAATGAGTAGTCTCCACAACGTCTTAAGAGTATTATTAAACCTGATATCAGATAAATTATCCTGTAAGTTAAATAAGACGTAATCAAAGATCTGTAACTAAAAACTGAGAAGAATAGTTATTACTATTTATGATCAAACAGACCGATAGAAGTCATTTATTACTTACTGTACAGAAAAGAATAGAGGTATATAATTGCTTATTTGTTGTCAATATGGCATAACTGCTGACACATACTTACTATTCTAAGTCGTCATTCCTTGTATGCTTGTTCTCGCCTGCTTCACTTGCATATTGTACTGTTCGTGCATAGTTAGCCAGCTAGTAGCTTCACATGTCCTTCTCTATCGTCAGAATTTTGTCCATTGTTATTCTCAAGCATTCGTAGCAAAATCCGTTATACTTTGTCTGTTGTTGTAATTACCAATCCAAAATACTGATTGAATCACTGAGAGCATTACAGAATACAGTTGTTTTGATGCACATTTGATTCTGCAACAATATGAAACAACGCATTTTTCGAACAAATTCTACAGTAAATGAAAAAGATGGGAACAGACAAATTGTCCGGTTGATGAATTTCCTTATGTAACTCCATCTGTATTCTAAGAAACTAACCAGAGTTCTCTCGAAAGATGATGGTTTTGAATTGACTCTACATAGAGTCATACGATAATTTCTGATAGTATATTATAGGAATCGTGATAATTCGAAATAATCTAGGAAAGATAGTTTCGCTGCGGCAAACAATCAATCATCACATTGCTTTTAATGTATCGTTTAGTTCCAAAGTGTGGCCTCAATTTCAAACCAACGGCTCAAAAGCCAGTTGAATATAAGTATGGTCCACGATCTGTCGCCATCAGTGATTTCGACAATGACACTGTTTTGGATATGGTTATTGCCAATCATATAGTCAACAAAATAGCGGTGTATTTGGGAAATGATGATGGCAGTTTTAGAGATCCAACCATGTATTCAGCAGGTTCCTATTCTAGTCCTTACATGATCACAGTTGGAGATTTCAACAATGACAACCGATTGGATATTGCAGTAGCAAATTTTGGCACTAACAATATCGGCATCTTTCATGGATTTGGGAATGGATCTTTCTCAAGTCAAATAGAGTTTTCAACAGGCTCATCTCGTCCGATAGCAATTATTGCTGTTGATTTCAACAATGACTCACTACTTGATATTGCCACTGCCAATTATGGAACTCATAGTGTTAGCATACTCTATGGAACTCGCAATGGAAATTTTTCTCCTACAAGTACTTATTCAACAGGTTATGATTCTCTTCCATCTTCATTAGCTGCTGGAGATTTCAATAACGACAACTATTTAGATCTCGCCATTGCCAATTATGGTACGAATAATGTTGACATACTTTTTGGAAATAGCAATAGAACTTTTGAAAAACAAATTACGTTTTCAACTGGCGCTGGTTCTCATCCATATTCAATCGCTGTTGGCTATTTCAATGACGACATATTTGTCGACATAGCTATTGCTAACTCGGGAACCCATGAAGTAGGTGTACTTCTGAACAACGGCAATAGAACTTTTGCTAATCAAGCCATCTATTCCATTGGTTCTGCTTCTCCATATGCAATTGCCGTCGTAGACTTCAACCAAGATAATCTATTGGACATCGTCATCGCTAATAACGGCAATGAAAATATAGGTGTACTTCTTGGACATGGGAACGGCAGCTTTGAAAACCCAACCATGTATTCAACTGGATCTTACTCTTCGACTTCTGTCGCAGTAGGTAATCTCAATAAGGACACTCGGCTAGATATCATCGTTGTCAACAATGATACTGGTAGCATAAATATTCTCCTTGGTTATTTTGAGGGTTTTTCAAATCAAACAAGAATTTCAGCTGGCTATTCTCCACAATCTGTAGTTGTTGGTGATTTCAACAATGACACTCGACTAGATATCATTGTTGCCAATGCGGTTAGCGATGATGTGAGTGTCCTTCTTGGAAATGGAAATGGTTCTTTTGAAAATCAAACAAGGTATTCAGCTGGCTCTTTTCCACTATGTGTAGTTGTTGGTGATTTCAACAGCGACACTCGACTAGATATCGTTGTCGCCAATCAAGATAGCCATGATGTGAGTGTCCTTCTTGGAAATGGAAATGGTTCTTTTGAAAATCAAATAAGGTATTCAGTTGGCTCTAATCCACAATCTGTAGTTGTTGGTGATTTCAACAATGACACTCGACTAGATATCGTGGTCGCCAATCGGGATAGCCATGATGTGAGTGTCCTTCTTGGAAAAGGAAATGGTTCTTTTGAAAATCAAAGAAGATATTCAGCTGGCTCTTTTCCACACTCTGTAGTTGTTGGTGATTTCAACAACGACACTCGACTAGATATCGTTGTTGCCAATTTTTATAGCAATAATGTGAGTGTCCTTTTTGGAAAAGGAAATGGTTCTTTTGAAAATCGAAGAAGATATTCGGCTGGCTCTTTTCCACAGTCTGTAGTTGTTGGTGATTTCAACAACGACACTCGACTAGATATCATTGTCGCCAATGCGGGTAGCGATGATGTGAGTGTCCTTCTTGGAAAAGGAAATGGTTCTTTTGAAAATCAAATAAGGTATTCAACTGGCTCTTGGCCACAATCTGTAGCTGTTGGTGATTTCAACAATGACACTCGACTGGATATCATTGTCGCCAACACGGGTAGCAACGATGTGAGTGTTCTTCTTGGAAATGGAAATGGTTCTTTTGAAAATCAAACAAGGTATTCAACTGGCTCTTCTCCAGTATGTGTAGTTGTTGGTGATTTCAACAACGACACTCGACTAGATATCGTTGTCGCCAATTTTTATGACGATGATGTGAGTGTCCTGCTGCAATATAACAGAGGAGCGATAGTATATAAAATGGCGTATGCATCTGGCGGTGGATCTAGCCTACAATGCGTAGTAATTGGTGATTTGAACAATGATACTAACCTGGATATAGTCTTTGCTAATTATGGCACTAATAATATCGGCGTCCTTTTCGGATATGGGAATGGTAGTTTTGAAAACCAAATGATGCTCAGCACTGGCGCAAATTCTCATCCGATTTCCATCGCGGTTGGGGACTTCAATGGTGACCGCATAGTGGATATTGCTTTAGCCAATAATGGTGCCAAGCATGTAGATATAATGCTTGGAAATGGGAAGAGAAAATTCGCAATTCAAACAAGTTATGAAATTGGTTTTGATTCACCTCCGTTAGTTATGGCTTCTGGTGATTTTAATAATGACAAACGATCGGAGATTAGACTGTACATATATGATGTCATCGAGTTAAAGCTCAATATTGCTACTCTTTATTCCTTAGATTGATTCGTCATTATTCTGAACTCTTCGCACATAGTTCTCTATTTTTCGAATGATAGTATCGATTTATGCATAATATGTGAGGCATTTAACAATAATTGACAATCCAGAGTTTTATATCGCTCTGGCTATGGCCATAGATTCAGTATGACTAAAACGGAGCAGATTTTCAAATTGCTCCATTAACTAAATTGAATAGATTTGAGGTTTTTTTAAATTGACCGTGTAGTGAATCATGTGTATCATGAACGACAATCGTGTTGATTGCATTTATCTGAGATATCACCACCGACATTTATTTAAATGATGTTAATGAAGTTTCCAAAAGTATGAAACACCGATTATTGTTGAATTTATACGAAAGATTGTCGTTACCATTATTTTCTAAGAGTAACTCCAGCAGATGAGCTGTTTGAGAGCGATATGCATGATTGCTCTATAAATTGAAGAACAATTTGAACAAAACTCTCTTTCATTTTTGTTGATAGATTAGTTTAATAATACCATATGTCATAAAAAACACACTTAAGGAACTTTTTACATGCCAAGACTATTTTTACTGTTAATAACCTTTGTTTTTAGTTTTCAAACTGCAGACCTACAAATGTCCAATCTTATTAACTGTCACAGTTAATTTCATCCCTCTCGGACTAACGCACACTTCATGAAGTGAACGACATCGACTAAGAGAAAACGAAATTTTGAAATCCACGAGTATCGACGACCATTCAATAACGCATCCAGAATTGTTTAGTAACATGTATTGTCAAGATAAAAGGAAAAAGTACTGAGATCCACATACCTGATACATGTGTCAATAATGTTCGAATAAATGAATGTGTGCACATGCCATTTGCAGTTCATTCATACTTCCATCATCATTAAGAAATACCAGCATTTCCTTACCTCATGCTTCTAATTTTCGAAAACGTATTATACGAACTGTTTCTATCGTGATCGTTAACGGTGGAAGTAATCATGTGGATATCTTTGTTGCGTACAATCGTGGTTCTTTTGAAAATCTAATAAGGTATTCAGCTGGCTCTTCTCCACGATCTGTAGCTATTGGTGATTTCAACAACGACACTCGACTAGATATCGTTGTCGCCAATTATTATAGCAATGATGTGAGTGTCCTTCTTGGATATGGAAATGGTTCTTTTGAAAATCAAAGAAGATATTTAGCTGGCTCTTTTCCACAATCTGTAGTTGTTGGTGATTTGAACAGGGACACTCGACTAGATATTGTTGTCGCCAATGCGGGTAGCAATGATGTGAGTGTCTTTCTTGGAAATGGAAATGGTTCTTTTGAAAATCAAACAAGGTATTCAGCTGGTTCTTCTCCACAATCTGTAGTTGTTGGTGATTTCAACAACGACACTCGACTAGATATCGTTGTTGCCAATTATCATAGCTATGATGTGAGTGTTCTTCTTGGAAATGGAAATGGTTCTTTTGAAAATCAAACAAAGTATTCAGCTGGCTCTTCTCCAGTATGTGTAGTTGTTGGTGATTTCAACAATGACGCTCGACTAGATATCATTGTTGCCAATGGAGTCAGCAATGATGTGAGTGTCCTTCTTGGAAAAGGAAATGGTTCTTTTGAAAATCAAAGAAGATATTCAGCTGGCTCTTCTCCAGTATGTGTAGTTGTTGGTGATTTTAACAACGACACTCGACTAGATATCATTGTTGCCAGTGCGGTTAGCAATGATGTGAGTGTCTTTCTTGGAAATGGAAATGGTTCTTTTGAGAATCAAACAAGGCATTCAGCTGGCTCTTCTCCACAATCTGTAGCTGTTGGTGATTTCAACAATGACACTCGACTAGATATCGTTGCCGCCAATTTTGGTAGCAATGATGTGAGTGTTCTTCTTGGAAATGATAATAGTTCTTTTGAAAATCAAAGAAGATATTCAGCTGGCTCTTGGCCACAATCTGTAGTTGTTGGTGATTTCAACAACGACACTCGACTAGATATCGTTGTTGCCAATTTTGGTAGCAATGATGTGAGTGTCCTTCTTGGCTATGACAATATAGTTTTTGTAAAGCAAATGACACTGGTAACTGGAAATGATTCTCGACCACAGTCTTTAGTAATTAGCGATTTTAATAATGATGACCTAATGGATATTGGCGTCGTTAATTCAGGTGCGCACAATATTGGTATTTTTCTTGGATATGGAGATATCTCTTTTGCAAATCAAATAACATATTCAACTGGCCTGTATTCATCTCCATGCTCTATGGCTGTCGGTGATGTTAACAATGATACTCGAGTTGATATCGTCTTTGCTAGTTGTGAGTCGGACAGTGTTGGGATTATTCTTGGATATGGGAATGGCTCTTTTGGAAATCAAATGATGTATTCAACAAGCTCAAATTCGTCTCGATACTCTTTAGCTGTAAGCGACATTAACAATGACACTATACAAGACATTGTTGTCACGATTGATGATACCAACTATCTAGGTGTGTTTCTTGGACATGCCAACGGCACATTTGCAAGTGTCATCTTATTCCCGTTGGACTATGGATCCAATCCATTCTCTATTGTCCTTGGAGACTTCAATAATGACAGAAAACTAGATATTGCCGTCGCTAATAGTGGTACTGACAGTTTAAATATTCTCTTGCAGACTTGTTAGTTTTTCTATCTCGTACTTTATATTTTTCTATCACTCACTTATTTCATATGCTCTTATATCTAGTAGAACCATAGTTTAGATATTCAAATGATTTTAACTGCAGTTGATGAGGGGGAAAAGGGTGTGGATGTGGGCAGTGGATTGAGAATAATACAGCCACACCCAAATCGTCTCAAACAACTCTCTTTTTCCACGATACATATTTGTCCAAGGGGATCATTTAGTGTACGTGTCTAACTGTGGAAATCATCGTGTGACGAAGTGGGTGGAAGGAGCAAAACAAGTCATTGTCGTGGCTGATGGTCAATGGCAAGGAAATAGTCTTACACAATTGTCATGTCCTCAAGGAGTCGTTGTAGATCAATTGGGCACTGCCCATGGGGCTGATGCAGAGAAGGGTGTGGGTGTAGGTATGGCTATGGGTACTAATATTTTCTGTATTCACCCACACCCACACCCACAGAAAACATTGAAGAAATTCTGAGATAAATACAAAGGTGGTTTCGCCAGCAAAAACATCAAAGGCAACGATAGGATATTTTATAAGTGCATATTAACCTTTAGGACGCTGTAAGTACTTCAGATTCTACCTGTCTTCCTGCACTCTTCCTCTAGTTCGACTGTTCTCTAAAGTTAATTCCGAAAGCAGCAACTTTATGCATCTTTGGGTCCGAGAAAATGATACAACCACTACGTAATCACGATCGTATCTATCGAGCAACAAATTTCTTCAATTCTTCGGGATCCTATTCATCTGTTTTCATCATATCATCCCTTTCTAACGTTTTGTTGTTTCTTTCAGACATATCTCTACTCCTCATTCGTTATTTATTCAAAAAATCATTCGCCTATCCTACAAACATAGCTCAAAATTTTTTGAAAGCGATTGCAGATTCGTATTCCTCGACTCCGGTTACCTTTGGCCAAACCTTTTAGGAAATCTTTATTCTCCCGAAAAACTCTTGTACTACCAAAAAAGTCAGTTCGAAAATTTTTCAAACTGACTCCAGATTCGGATTCCTCGGCCCCGAAAAACTTTGCTGAAACTTTATAGGAAATTGTTATTTTCTCATAAAAGCCCTTTTTCTGGTAACTCGGTTTAACTTGACCTTTGGCCTCCCACAAACAAATGCACACACACAAACTCATTTTATTTCATATGGCTCTCCCTTCAGTCGAGGGAATAAGACGCTCACTGTTTACATGCAGTTTTAAAAAAGACCATCAATTGTTTATTGAACTGAATGATTTTCATTTAATGAAATTCTTCACGAGCAAGACTTGATCTGTCATGATTGATTTTTGACCTCTGATCCTTGGCCTGCGACAAACACACAGACAAAAAGATAGCGTAACTCGTTTTATTTCATACGACCCTCACACCAATCTAGGAAATTACTTTTCTAAAAACTCGATTTCCGTTGGTTCTTAGCTGACCAATATGATTTCGAGCCTTATAGTGTTTAGATTCTCATTCGCCAGTCTCGATTACCGGCGGCCTCATCACTCTGGTGTTAATGTCTGCTACTTTCATCTTTGATCTTTGACCTGTCACAAACACACACAGGCAAACAAACCCATTTTATTTCATATGACCCTCTCTACAGTCCAGCGAATATTAACGAAAAATATGTTATCTCGTATAGAATGATAAGACGACTGTTTAAAAAGAAATCAAGGCAGATATAATGTATGTTATCAACAGAGAAATCATCAAAATACGGTCTGAATCTATAGATGAATTTAGTATCGCTAAAGAGTCAACAACCTACCGCCTCCAAAAAAGAGAGCTATGTATCTATAGCTGAATTTAGAGTAGATGAGTTCAGAATACGTGAACACCGTCAAGTCCCACGTCTCTAAAAAGCAGAGTAGCTTTCCTTTTTCCAGTTCAGTTTAATTCAAAAAGAGCATAGATTTCATGGTGGCTCCACTCATCCTAGAAAACATAAACTAAGACGCAAAGTTTTATTGTTTATTAATCGTAGTCTGAATTTCGGGATACATTTATTCTACTTCTTTAAATTAGACTTGGCTCCCAGTTGGTGTACAGTCATTTTCGTTTTTGGACAGGTAATCGTGAATAATCCAGCTTTGCACTCCAGTTTTGCTTGACTACTCTCGATGTCGCACTGCAGAGGAATTTTCAATTCAAATGGGCCCATTGGAAATTCTGATTGATCAGGAACCTTTTTGTATTGCAATTCTGCGAAACCATCTCGTTTGCCTTCGATGAAAATATTCTTTTTATCAACATTAATAACAACTTCCATATCGTCGAAGCCAGCCAATTCGACAAGTATTGTTATACAATCACTATTTTCATACACACGATAACGAGGCTCCCACTTTCCTATCTGCTCTGAAAAGATGCCCATTAAAAATCCGCGTTGGTCATAGATTAACCTAGGAGATACTAAAAAAGAAGAAGAATGTTTCTGGCGTTCTACGAGTGGAACATGCTCCAAATCAGAAACTACAATATACGGCTCTGTCTCGTGTTTGACGATCTGCAGCTTTGGTACATCAGCTTTGTAATCATTCTCACAGGAAAATAATTGAGGTAGTTTGCTGTTAACATAACTTAAGGTCTCGTCTAAGATATGAACGTCGCGTCTGCGTCGTATATCCGCTTGTAAAATGGCGATCATACCTTCTAGTGATTGATCATTCCATTTTATTCCTGCAGGAGAACCCTCTTTTGCCATAACAAAATGAAGCAGCGTGGTTCCATTATATATCGACCGATAGGTATCGATATCCTTATCTTGCCCATTTACTCGTTGTGTTATAGTTACTAATTTAGCACCCAAAATACCATAGATTTCAGTAGTAATTACTTCGGTAACATCGTCTTCGTTTTCAAGATCTAACAGATTGTGCACAAAAATAATTTCTGGCTTGTCCGATATCTGTAGCTTGCTACAATAATCCAAGACTTCCCGTACATATATTTGATCTGTTAAATGTAGACGATTTAATACAATGATAATGTAAGAACACAAGTGCAAAACTATTTCCCTTAAGAGAGCTTCAGTAGCTCTTTTATCTTCGAGTCCTTCTTGCTTCACTGGTGTGTCTGTACCAGCTGTATCTATAAAAATCAAGTTTTTAACAGTATCTCTTGACGCCGTGATTGAAATGCCTTCAGTCGGTAGTAAACGTCCACTAGGAAATTGAGTCTTACATAGCTGATTAAGCAAAAACGATTTTCCACGATTGTAGGAGCCAAGCATACCAACTGTTAAGCTACTATTATACGAAGCCATTGATGTTGAGGGTGATGTCATATGTTTAGTATTATACACTGTTACTCTCCATCCATCTTTCACCAAATCCTTTAGACTGTGTATACCAATAATGGCATCATACGGTGTAGCAGTAGCGGGGTGCACCCAGGAAATGTTGCAAGCCATGAAACTCATTGTTACCTCAAGAAGCAATAAACATAATATATATATATAACAATGGTATCTCATCTCATTGAGATGAAAAGAAACCCTTTGCGCTTATTTCTCTCCGCTGATAACATTTCTTTCAAAACGTTCTCTGGTATTTTAGATAAGGGCAAAAGAATGTCAAAAAACATCATCACGCATATCTTTTCTTGTTTTCTCTCACTAAGTTGGAAATGTAAGAATATCAAACTACCAAACAATAGATTCACAGAAAACAGACCGAAAGCAGTAGTGGATATAGATGTGAGAGTTTCGTGCAGCCCCACACCCATACATATACGAGAGACTGTTAGATTCGACTCAGATCTAGACTTTACCCAATTCTATCCAGCAGCTACCGGGACTTATTTTTTCGGGATTTATTGGGATTTTTTAATAAGTCCGTACGCACTTTGAGATAAATTCCATACAGTTCCTCGCTACATACAGAATGTGGATGAGGATGTGGGTGTGAGTATGGGTGTGGGTGTGGGTGTGAGTATGGGTGTGGGTGTGAGTATGGGTGTGGGTGTGAGTATGGGTGTGGGTGTGAGTGTGGGTGTGAGCGTGGGTGTGAGCGTGGGTGTGGGTGTGAGTGTGGGTGTGAGCGTGGGTGTGGGTGTCGGTGTGAGTATGAGTGTGGGTGTGGGTGTGAGTGTGGGTGTGGGTGTTGATATGAGTATACTGGGATAGCATCAATATTAATATATCAGAATAAATCCTCAATAAAGAAATAAGTCCGCTAGAAAGAATAAATCCCGAAAAAATAAGTCCCGGTAGTCCCTCTCTAATAAATATTAACAGTAAAACCGAAAAGCCAGGAAGAGTAATGTGAAGTTGTTTTCTGTTTATTGGCAACGTTTTAGGAGGTATCTCCCTCCTCCCTCCAAAATATAGAAATTTTTCAGAAATTCCAGAAAAACTTGCAAATTTTCCCAGTTTTTCAACAAACAGTGATGACCAGAACGGAGGAACTGGCTTTGTGAACGTGCCCTACTCTCCCTCAGCGGTGAGCCACATTTCGGAAGAAGTTCTATACAAAAAAAGCATAATACTTTATGAACATGATCACGTGATCAATCGATTTGACCTTAGGGATGTCAGCTTCAGGTTCCTCAAGGAACGGAACGCGTCTCAAACTTGCGTTTTTGAGCATTTATCCAATGTACGGAGGTTATTAATTATTCTTCTATATACGATTTATCATTGGCCATAGCGCCGAGTTGTGCCACTGACCAAAACTGCGCTAGCGGTTTTCCAAAAAAACAAGGTTTCCGCCCCAGAATCGTCAGTTTTACGAACATAGAAATATTTTAAA